ATAGATATTAATATATATAGGTATATATATTTAAAGCACGGAGACCCTTAGCGAAGACGGACTATTGAACTATTGATATATATACAGAACTATTGAAGTTTACTATAAATAAACAACTTTGACTTTTCTAGATCCCTTTGCCCATAAAAAAACGTACTCCAAAATTTAGAAAAAAAAACTAATTTGAATTAAACTATAATTCCTTCAAAATGAGTAAGAAAGAAATTGTATCTGCTTTTACCTTTGAAATATGTTCGTTTCTGAAACCAAGCAGTAGCCAGTAAAAATGGCGTGGGGTAGCCACTATTTAAGGTGGTATTTATTTTTTATCCAACAATTCTAATGTTGAGTAAAAATAGCCACTACTCTATTAAAATTAATATGAAAAGATATTTTTACCCTTTCTTCCATTGCTTTTCTTCCCAAACCCTCGCTCCTCTCTCTCAAGTTCGATGCAGAGACATGTTTTTGTGGATGCATATGTTGTTTTGTGACAAAAATGCTGAATTGAGTTTTTTGATTTTTGTGAATTTGATGGCTTTGAACAGTTACGAAGATGAAAAATGATATCTTGCTATTTTTATAACGAGGGTCAGTTTTGTCTTGTTTCGTGTGATTGCCACCTTTATTCGGTTTTTGCCTTCAATTTTAAGTATCGATTTAATGCTGAATTGGGTTTCTCATTCTTGTTGATGCATGTGTTGTTGAAAGAATTTGGTCCTTAACTTATAGTTACAAGCACAGAAATTAAGGACAGGTAGTCCTTAATTTAGAGTTACAAGCACAGAAATTAAGGACAAGTAGTCATGAACTTAGAGTTACAAGTTCAAAAGTCAAGGACATGTAGTCTTAAACTTAGAGTTACAAGCTCAAAAACTAAGGACGGGTAGTCCTTAACTTAAACTTACAAGCTCATAAATTAAGGACAGCTAGTCCTAAACTTATAATAACAAGCTTATAACTTAAGGACACTTGGTCCTGAACTTAGAGTTGGAAGTTCAAAAATTAAGGACACTTGGTCCTTAACTTAGAGTTACAAGCACAGAAATTAAGGACAAACAGTCATTAACTTAGAGTTACAAGCACAGAAATTAAGGACAGGTAGTCCTGAACTTCGAGTTTCAAGTTCAAAAGTTAAGGACATGTAGTCCTGAATTTAGAGTTACAAGTTCAAAAGTTAAGGACAAGTAGTCCTAAACTTAGACTTACAAGCTCATAAATTAAGGACAGTTAGTCCTGAACTTACAGTAACAAGCTCATAAGTTAAGGACACTTGGTCCTGAACTTTATGAGCAGACAGGTATTTTCGTCCGGGCGGGTAAAGTTTATTAAAGCAGTGGCTAAAGACTAAAGATATTTTAAACAATGGTTTAAAAGTAAATACATGTCTTATTAGTGGCTAACTGTGCAATCCACCCCCCCCCCCAAGTAGCCAAGGGTCAATAACAAATTTTATTATTAATTTGATTCCTTTGAAATAATTCTTTTAGAAAAAAGTGTCCTAAATGTAAATAAAAAAGAAAATTATCTTTTTAAGAAGGAACAAAATTGTCTTTAAAGTATTTAGCAATTACTAATTTAAATAAAAATAAATATATTGAGTATAATTAAATTTTTGTCTAATATGAATTACGAAATACGCTTTAATTTACTTGGTTAAAAGAAAAATAAAACATTCGTAAAATTCTAATATATAAAATAAAAATAAAAAAGGTAAAAATGTACCCTAAAATTCCTACCATAAATAAATGAGAAAAATAGTTTTCAAGAAGGAATCAAATTGTCTTTAATTTCTAAAATCTAGGTTAAATAAAGGAGAAAAATATCTTCTCAAGAAGGAATCAATTATTTGCAATTCCAAATTCTCGGCAACTTAGCTATTTATCAAACAAAAACTTATGAATGGTTTATTTATCTTTTTAATTACTCCTAACGTTTTAAATTTTACAAATGTTATGTTTTTATATTGAATATAATTTTTTATTTATTTTTTTTTGGGAAAGTGCCAAGTTCATATAATTCAATGTAAGAAAGGAACCATCCTTGTTTTTTATAAAATTATAGTTAATGTGTCTTTGTCTCCAAAACCAAGAATATTATAACACAAATAATTATTTATGGTTGAACAGATCTTTTTGTACGGAAAAGGGTCAAAACTACCCTCGAACTATAGGCTTATTGTCAAATATATCCTCCGTCCACCTATTGTGCTAAAATTGCCCCCGGTGTTTTCTTTTCAGCTCAAGTCTACCCTTATGACTAATGGCCATTTCCAAAAAAAAAAAGATTTATTTAATAATGATGTGGAAGTTTCTCATTCGTCGAATTTAAAACACTTGTCCCCATTAAAACGACCTACCCATATGTACGATTTTCATAATAACCCTTCCCGAACCAAAAATCTAATAGATAAAAGGGAACCCCGGCCCCAGGAGACTCTTCTTCTTTCTTTTCTAAGTGTCTTTTCTTCAAATTAGGGCTCTTCAAAGAAAGAAGAGTCGTGTCAATGGCTGTAATAAAAATTTTAGCTTATTCCACAAGAAAATCAGTTCAAATCTGTAGAGAACTACAAATTTTGGACATAAATAAATATCCACAAATCACTAAATACCCTCTAAAATTTCAGATCTGAAAATTTTGACTAGCTTAAATGGCGAACAGCTTTGTTCCTTGCATTTTCGAGCAACCAAGACAGTAGATAAACTTGACTTTAGCTTCAAATAATAACAATCAGCAGGTTCCAAGCAACAATCTCGACTTTCAAAATAAAACTCTCACAACAACTTTGACAATTTCAAGCCACAAATTTGGCCCACCAAAGATCCTAATCAGTAGAGTGATCAAGGAAAGTTTTAAGCACTAAAACTCTTCAATTCACCAAAAGATCATCCTTTCTCAATTCCACCAATGAACCGTATTTTCAAATGCTCGTACCAATGAAATTCGTAAACTCATAAACAAAGCATGAACTCAAGTGTATTTGATCAAATAGTGATACTATATTTTAATTTTCTGATTTTTTGTTTTCTTTTTGATTTGGTAATAAATTAGTAGGCACTTCATGTCGGGTTAGTGCAGTTTGGGGTGGGTTAGTTCGAAAATGGGTACGGATGGGTCTTTTTAATGGGAACATGTGTTTTATATTCAGCCAATGAGAAGTTGTCACGTTATTATTAAATAAATATTTTTTTGGTGGAAATAGTTGTTAGTCCAAAGAGTAGTTATGAGCCGAAAAGAAAACGTAGGGGGCAATTTTAGCGCAATAGGTGGACGGAGGATATATTTATCCCTAAGCCTATTATTCAGAAGTAGTTTTGACCCTTTTCCGCTTTTGTATTATTGGTAGATCATATTACCCATCAATGGTGTACTATTTCTCCAAAACATTATACATACAAAATTATTAAATTGTTTAATAATGAATAATAGATAAAACTATAGCATATTCATGGTTCCTTATATAATTGTGATGTCCTCTTTATTGTTCATTTTTCTTAGAATAATATATGTTTGTTACATTCAACTTAATCTTTTAAGTTGTTTTCTATAAAGAAGTTTAGAGGTTACAGACCAACTTATTTATTGTCGTGAGTAATGCTAATACAAATTAACATATTGTGCTTTTTCTAAGTTTTTAAACTAAATACAAATCCCATGTTCGAAATCCAAATAAGACATATTAGGACTTTGTGGGGTGACGTTTCTTTTCTTATAGAATTAGTTTTAAAAAATTAACAATCATATTTTTAGGAAGTTAACTATTTCCTTTAGTTTAAATTCTATAAATCAAGATATTTTTACTAATATTTATGTGATTTTTACTAAGATTTTGATTGTAATATGGGTACACGTGCAACGCGTGTATCCTAAGACTAGTCTATATAAAAGAGAGCAATAGGGAAGTGAGGTGGCACCTCTCTTGAGCCAAGGATACTATTTGTCTGTTTGTGACTTTTTTTGCTCATTCTTTGCTTCTTTTCCTCTTTTCTTAACTGCTTATTTATTCTAAATTTCTCTCTAAGAAAGACTATGAATAGTTGTGACTACATTGAAGAGTTGTAATAGTAAGGTAACGAAGAGGCACACCTTTTATTCACAAATGGAAGAGATAAACAACAGTTATGTTCAATGCTTATTAGTAATTACTTTCAATAAATATCCATAATCCTTTTAAGACAGTCAGAAACTTTTCAGTTTTTGGTACTAAATGGATGAAATTAATGGCCATCTTGCAAACTATATTATGACATGCGGTGAAAAGAGTGCAAATGCGGAGAGATGCGGGCAGGATAGCAGCAACAGCTATGAAGGGAATTCCAAACAACGCTTCTGGCTTCTCCAATATCTCGGTTAGTTAGTAGTAGTTCTTTTTCGATCAACTGTTATCTTTCTTTTTCTTCTGTTGTAGAATTATGCTATTGTTCTTCTTAGCTTGAATAATTGCTCTCTTTTCTCTTCTACTTTTCAATTTTTTTTAAGCAAAAGCAGAAAATAAGTATTTTTTTTAAAGCCGTTGGATAGAGTTGCCAAACGATTTCAAATTCAGCTTTCTTCCTCCATTTGTGTACCTTCTGGCTTTTAGTTGTGATTAGTCGAATAATATTATATTCTATAAAATTGAAGGAATGCTTTTATCTTTTTAATACACCATTGTTGAATTTGAGTTTTATAAATTTGTGACTGCATTGTTTTAAAAAAAAAAAATAGTTGACCACAATGTGATNATTACGAAAGAATTTAAATCTTATTTTTTTCTAATTTAGGGTTTCAAGAATTAGTGTCATAATTTAAATGAGTAGTTTGAATATATACGGGCTTATTATATTATATCATAAAGTACAAAATTATAATATAATCTAAAAATTATATAGTTTCCTAATACGAGAATTGAAACATGAATGAAAGAGGACAAGAGAGAGGAAGTGCAATTTCCCTTCAATAAAAGCTTGCTAGATGAATAGGCTTCCCGTTAGGACAAAGACTAAATTTGGAAGTTAAAAGACGAAATAACTTACCTTTAGTACACACTTTCATTTATCAAAAAAATAGCTTTGAATGTATAAGAAGATTAATAACCGCTAGGAATCAATAATGTCGATAACCACGTACATATATAGAGAGAGAGAGGGAGGAGAGGAGGAAAAAGAGGATGAAAGAAAACAAAAAGGTCAAAAAAGGAAACAAAAGAACTAGCGGCACAAAACAGCAGTGGAGCAAAAATAAGTTGCTGGAATTTAGCCAAGGAGCTTTGACAATGTGAAGCTATATCACTAATTTTGTAATTTCAATCTTCTGAAAAGTTAGGTGGCATTTGTTTGAAATTTTCTAAAAAATTGAGCTAGCAAACTCAGTTTTTGAGTATTTTTTTTGAAAAAGTGTCCGATAAATAAAAAAAACTCAGAATTTCAATTTTTTCAAAAACTCCAAAAACTTTTGAAAGAATTTAAAAACTCAGTTAAGAAACCTTTAAACAAAAAGTTAATTTACTCTTAGAAACACTTTTTCCAGAAATTAAAAAAAAAAAAAAAACTGATTTTGCAAATTTAATTTTAGAAATCTCAAACAAAGCCACAAGCAATCTCCCAGGAAGAATGATGCTCAAGTGCCAGTCACCAATGATGATTATCTAGGGATCACCTGAGTGATTGTGAAGGGTACAGAACTTTGTTGACTAGTACTGCATTCAGACGACTTCAATTTTGAACGCATGCTTGCATCAGAATCTTGGAAGAAACCAGGTGGTGTAAGTTCTTTCTCATTTAGCTGGATATTTCTTGAAAGCATCTCAATAACCTGGCTCATCATCGGTCTTCTGTTTGCATTTGCTTGGGTGCAAAACAGAGCTACCTTGATGTACCTGACGACTTCTTTTTCGGGGAAATCATCCAATTCTGCATCTACCAGCTCCAATAGCTTTCTGTCTTCATAGAGCTGCCAGGCCTGATACAATAAATTGTACTTCTATCATTTTGATCACTCAACACTCGGAATGGAGAAAAAAGGGGAAAGGAGAAAATTGCATTTACAAGTAGCTTAGAGCCTGTAGGTTGCTAACACTATATAGCCATAAATTTGTGAGATTCAGCTAACCAAACTGAATAAATCAATCCATTTTGGAATTTATCTTACTGTTGCTACATCTTCGATTTGAATAACTGGCTTGTCAGTAACTCTGGAAACAACAATTGCATCCTAAAACTAGCTAATGAAAGGGAGATTAGAAAACCAAAGTTTAGCAAACAGACATCATTTGACTTCTTTGAAAAAATATTTGAGCAAAGAATCCCCTTTCACGGCCTTACTTTACCCTCCTCCTTCTGCCCCAACCAACATAATTTTAGAAAGGGAAAACTCAAAATTTCTGAACAATGACATATTGATAATACTAACATTCATTTAGAAATTTAGTTCTCTTTACCCCAGATAACTATGAATTTCTGGTAGTGAATACAAACTCCTATAGAGAATAAGGTACTAGCTTTTTTTACCTAATGAATACCTTATTGGATCAGCTCGTGCTTCGAGTAGCCTTTCTGATGACACACTCAGAAAAGAAAAAGAAGTCTCAGAATCTCAGCTGCTTTCCTTTCACTCACACAGTTGTCTTTAATATATCATTTTTTACATTCAGAGAAACTCTTTTTATCAACTTCTTATCAGTTGGATTCTATAACTATTAATACTCATATAACTCTGCGAGAAGTGAAAAAGCTTAATCATATAATAACTAGAGATGGATTCACTTATGTTCTTTTATTTATTTATTTATTTATTTATTTTACCAGACCTCTACTCAATTTGACTTCATATAGTGCATTCATCTCCAAATGTCCTTGCGGTGTTCAGAGATTTTCATTAACATGAACCAGAATATATGGTTATTAGTTGAAAATACAAGACGAATCATGCAACAGATTCTAGATGCTACACCCAGGAAATGAATGCCATACTTTTAAATAGATTAAGGAACTAAGAAAAATCTGACCCACCCATCCGAGAAGTGACTTCTTATCCCCTTGCCAAATACTACTGCTGCTGCTCCTGCCACTAACTGTTTCCAGTATTAGGACCCCAAAACTGTAAACATCAGCCTTCAACGTTAATTGTCCGCCTAATACATATTCGGGTGCCAGATAGCCACTGCTTGGAAGAGCGAAAAGGTCTAGAAGTCAGAAACTCGCCTCCAACAAATATATTGGAGATCTATGATCTAAAAACAAACCTTCAGGAAATTGAAAATGCTTGAATCTATATATTCATATAATTGTTTATAAATGACTCTAAAGAGCTAGAAAAGAAATAATCAGTTTATTATTTTTATTAAGGGATCCTTTTCTGCATTTGTCAACTATATATAAACCTTACTTTTTATTTGCATGCCTTATCGCTTTCTTTAGAATAGCAGTAGTTAAATGTGTCAAACACATCCTATTAAGGCTATTTTCAAACTTTATTCTAGGGAAAGCATATACAAACTTTTAAAACAAATAAAGGAATGGCTTTATTTGACTTATGAAAGAAAGTTTAAAATTTGTGCTTAATCATCGGAAGCACTATGACTTTCTTGCTTTTCAATGTTATGACCCTATTTGATATAACAACCTCTAAAATTTTAATTGGATATAAAGACACTTTCTTTTATAAGTTCATGAGATGAGACAACAGCAAAATTTTCAACAATCTAATAAGGTGGATATATTACAACACTGTTTAAATGTTCCACTGAATTCTCTTTAGGACTGCAGGACAGAAAAAAGAAAGATGCATTGACTTCTCATTTAATCATATAGTAATAATGAACTATATGTGTACTATGAGTTATAAGAGTAAAAGCCAAGCACAAAGTAGTTGAGTATTTAATGCACACGTTTTATTTACCAACATTCTTTTTTACTTTATGAGATACAAACTAATTATCTGCACTGAAGAATCAAACTAACTATACCTCAATCTCAAGCAAACTTTTAATGACTCCTCCATATTCATATGGCTCTAATTCATGCTCATTCACTCAGTGAATTCATCCTTAGGTATAGTAGGGGCACATATTGCTTCCAAGCCTAAGCAACCTAGTTTTTTTCAGATTTGGTTATATCTACAGAAGTGTTTCATAGTCTCATAGACTAAAGTTCTCAAGAAGCACATACTTGACTATTCACCCAAGACAAACAGCCACCACAAACAAGTAGCAATCACAAAATCGATAAAAGAAAAAAGATGGACAAAAGACCCTAGTTACATGAATGGCACCTGTAAAAGCTTCTTTTCTACCTTTTTACTTCATGGCATTCATTTCCAGCATTGTTTTTCCACTCCTTTTTAATTTACTTAGAGTTAAAGCAACCCACAGCATCTCATGATATCTTTACAACTGATTACATCCTAAACCCAACGAAGCCATAAGGTCCTACTTTCAGCCATGCAAAACATAGAGGGGTTCGACTAAAAATTCAGAGGAAGACATACGTTGTTCCTGCTATTTTCGTGCTGATATGGGTGATATTATCTGGGAAAAGCTTGGCAAGCCCAAAATCTCCAATTTTTGGTGTATAATCCTTGTCAAGTAGAATATTACTAGCTTTTATGTCCCTGTGCACTATATGTGGCACTAGTTCTTCATGTAGATATGCAAGACCTTGAGCGGTACCCAAGCAAATAGCAGCCCTTTTGTCCCATTCCAACTTAATATTAATCCTGGAACCTGCAAAGAGAAAGCCATTATCAGTAGCCCATTCCATAACTCTGAAGTTAATCTTTTACTTCACCAGAAGTTCTGCAATTACCAAACACTGCTTGGTCAAGGCTTCTATTTACTAAATATTCATAGACCAAAATCCGGTTATTTCCGTCAACACAACATCCAATTATCTCAACTAGATTTGGATGTCTGACATTTGATATGGTCTCAATTTCAGTCAAAAACTCCCGCAAACCCTGCTTTGATTCCGCTGCAAGTGTCTTCACAGCGATTTCTTTTCCATTTTTTAGAGTTCCCTACAAATTGCACAGGAGTTAATAACCAGCAACAAGAACTATATCAATGTAATTAAATACAACGAAATTTGTTAGTATTTACTAAAGTCTTAACCTCAGAAGCAAAGACAATTGCCGTATTACACAATTATTTTTAAAGAGGGAGATGATCATGAAAATCAAATAACAGAATAAGAAGTTAGGAATGAAGAATTCCTGTGAATTTCAGAAATCAGTCTGCTTCTGTAACTTAAAATAAACCTTAACATCCAAGAATGTGACAAACAGCACTATGCAAAAGACACAAAATAAGTTGTCCATGCATAAAACTCGGGCATGAAAGAACATGAGATGTATTCTCAGAGTAGAGCTGTACCTTGTATACTGTGCCAAAACCGCCTCGCCCTATTTTATTAGTTTGATGGAAGTTGTTGGTTGCTATTCTTAATTCACTAAATGAAAAATTCTTTGTGCTTGCAACGGCGCGGCCTGCCAAAAATAAAAGATATGTATGGTGTATGAAAATGCAGAATAGAGGCTAATTATCTTATTTGTTGTGCTTAAAATGAGGTAATAAGAAATTTTTTAAGGCATCTAATTAGGACCAATAATACAATATAAGGCATCAAATCTTCCTGTGAGAGTTAGAATCAGAATTTTTATGTGGCTTCCCGAGAAAACAGACAAAATGGAACTTGCCATCCTCTAAAGAATGTGATCACTAGTGAATCTTCCCACTACTCCATATAATGAACTTGTTTATCATAATAAATAACACAAATGTAACACACTTGACCAATTATCTAACAGATAAGACACCTGTAACACACTTGGATAATTGGCTCTTCTCCTTAACCAAATCGAACATATTTTAGCAAGCCAATTAGCAGGTACATTCAGAACTCTATTCTCGATCCTTACATTGAACCTTCCATTTTATTGCCTTTGGTGTCTTCCATACTTCAGGATGGCCCATCTTGGATTTACTTAAGACAATCTCTAGTGAAGACACTCAAAGCAATCCAGCAGACAATTCTTTTGCATTGGCGTCGCTTATGCCTAAGTTGAAAATTGTCTAGAACCAAATGTGCAATGCATCTAAAAAGTATTAAAGATAATTTGTGTTACAGTTCTGAGCATTTTGTATCATTTCCTCATCACTTCACCCTCAACCCATCTGACATATACACGCATACCACAATATTGATTCGACTTTCATAGGCCTTGAAAACTTGCATATTCACTCAATCTACTCATTACTGATTTTGGTATGATACTTGCTGTAGTTCTTAAGTTTCTCATTCCGGTGTCTTTTTTTTTTCTTTTTTTAATCGGTAAGTTTCTCATTCCATTGTCCTTTTTTCTTAATCTATCCACACTTTTACCTTCTTCCCTTTACATTCAAGCAAGGGGGGGATTTTTTTTAAATACATAAATCATGTTAACCTGTAAAATTTTGTGACTAGGCAAGCAGATAATAGGGTCAATCCCTCTGAGTGTCAATGCCAAGCGCATAAACTTGCAAACAAGTCCTCCAAACAACCAAATAAATTCATAAAACCAGAAAAAAAAAATCCATCAGCTACCATCCCTATTTTAAATACGCACTAACCTCCTGTATCTCTTGTATCATGATGAACAAGATCATCACCTTTTTTCCGGGCACCAAAAAAGCAACAACTCATGTCAATTTGCTTTTTGCGGGACAAATATTCTAATCAATTGATAGTGCCTCTAGATGAGTAAATTACATGTTAGCCTTCACCATGGATACCCTGTAAAACAAAGAAAAGAATTCTTTTTCACAAAAAAGTTTTCCTCCTTCAGCTTGTTAAACTTATTATCAAAGCAAAACATTTTTTGCTCAGATGGAAAATTCCTGCCCTAACAAAATGTACTATAAAAATTCTATAAAACTTAAGAATGATCAACATTGATTCAGTAAAAGTCAATATGCTATATTCCCAGCGAAGGCAAAAAATACTAGGTTATTTCTTTCCATCTGTCCAAGCCTTAGTAGACAGGTGTGTGGTGCTGGTGGAAGGTAGTAGGTACCGGTACCCGTGGAGTTAGTGGAGGTGTGCGCAAGCTGACCCGGCATGGCTATTTAAAGAAAAACGAAGTCAATATGGGTAAGCACAAATATTGGTTTCATTTTGTATTAAGAACTCACTAAAATTGCAGGAGGTTGAAAGCGCTATTCTTTGGCTACAGCTGAATTAAGGTTTGCCTACATATTTTCTATAATAAATAAATAAAGCAAAAAGTCAAAAAGGCAAGGAATTTGATAGCTCGATGCCTTAAATTTACTAAAGATTTACTCATTTAGCTCCATCCCTACAAATTCACTCTTTGGATACAGCTGAATTAAGGTCACTTACATATATATTCTTTTCAAAAAAAAAAAATAAGCAAAAAAGTCAAAAGGCAAATGAATTTGATAGCTTGATTCGTTAAACTTCCTATAGTTTTAGCTCCATCACTAAATAAAACAAGATGGTAAAATCATCAATTCCATAAAAAGCAAAATAAGAAATCTAAGAATAATAATAAATAGTAATAATCATAATTCATAATTATTGCGTACCTTAAAATTGGAAGAGCAGAGGGAAAGAAGAATATGAAAAATTATGGCATATGGTGGAAAATAAAGGAGAATCTTGTGAAAGAAACGTAGAGAATTAACAGAAGGAGTAATAGGAGAAGGAGCTTTGTTGGAATAGGTGGTGGGCCGGCGGCGAAGAAGAAGAAGAAGAAGAAGAGGAGGAGTCATAGTTAGGCTATTTCTCTGTGTGAATGATTTTTTTTATCAACGCGTTCTCACGTTAAAGGAAAATTTTGAGACTTTGACACTCTGAAGCTCGAAAGCGACTCTCTGCTTTCTGCTTTTTGCTACCTTTCACTCATACGCTGCTTTTTGTACAGTTAGTAACTAATTAGAATGGTTTTAGTTAGTCGGTTCTTTAATAAATGTTTACCTGCCCGGACAAAAACTCCTATGCTAGATACTGTGTACTAAGCTTCATAATTGTTGCCTAAATATTAAGAATAGAGTGTCGTAAATTAGCATTATTTTAAATTTTAGGGTATGTCCTCAGAAGCGGAGTCAGAATTTGAAATTTATGAGCTCAGGATTCTGATTATTTTTAAGTTACTGGATTCTAAATTAATAATTTATACATGTTTAATAAATTTTATCAAACAAATACATAATTTGAACTAAAGTTACTGAATTCGACGGAACACGTAAATAGCTCGCTAGCTCCGCCCCCGGATGTCCTTAACTTCTCACGCTAAAGGAACATTTTGAGACTTTGACACTCTGAAGCTCGAAAGCGACTCTCTCTGCTTTCTGCTTTCTGCTTTTTGCCACATTTCACTCATACGCTATTTGTTCAACCACTCATCTTTCGGACAGCACTAATAAAATTAAAAGTCAATATCTTAACATGGCTAACTAAAACTTAATCTCTATTAAAATTAATATTATTTTCTTTGTATCATATGTAGTAGTAGTATTTTAAATGATCTTGTGGATTTTTCAAATTGTTCATTTGAAAAAATTATACTAACTCTTATTACTGGACGATTATAATACTTTCCAAAAATTGAAGTTAATGTGCCTTAGGCATTTCTATCCCCATTTTACCCCTTCCTCCAAAGTTGGAATAACTAAACAACTGAAAAACTTCGAAGCTCTTCTCCTTTTTTTAAAAAAAAATGTAGATGACAATATCTTCCAACATACACACCAACAAAAAAAAAGAGAAAACGATGGCTTGAAATTACAATAATCCTGTACCATTTTAAAATAGAAACAAAATTTGTTATATAATTGAGCATTCTAGTTAGGGTTGTTAAAATTAGTCAAACTATACTTCGATCAACCTCATCAGATTTGATTAGTTAGGTAAGTGATACTATTAAGAGTGGGTAACAATAATCTAAACTCAAATTAACCCGTCAATATTTTGACTTAAAATAGCTAAAATAGTTCATTCCAGCAATTTGATTATCAACCTGTTACTTGATGACAAAATTAGAATAACTGGAGAAGTAATACAATTCTTCATTTTAAATAAAGGATGAAAAGAAATGGATATAGAATATTTTCTTAAGTCTAGAAAACAACACGAAAAGTATATAAAATTCTAAAAAATCAGCTACAATGTGATCTTCTCATCATTGATTCATTGGTTTTGGGCCGATTTTGACTTTGGCCTTCACAAGATGACACAAGAACTCCTCAAAAAATTCAATGCATCTGTTTAATTAAGACCGCTTCATTTATCTTATTAGTGGTTAGTTAAAGTCTCAGAATTAGAATTTCATCATCTTTAAACATATAGATAGCGATGTACTTATTTTCCATATGAAATAGTTGAGCATTCTAGAACGTCAAAGTAAGACTTCCAAAATCAAGAGATAATAGTCAAAACATTAGCCTATTTTAATGAATGGACCAACATGAACTTATTTTTTTTTTCTTAATTTTATGTAATTGTTTTATATTTATCATACTATCTAAAATCTTTTACCAAGCTACACACGACTCAAGTGCGATTAGTCACTAGTATAAACAGGGGCAAAGTCTGAATTTAAAAATTGAAGTTAGCTAGAGGATACCTTTCCTTGACTTCTCAAAATATGATTTCAACTCTAAAAATCTTGTAACTTATGGAAAGAGGTCTTTAGAAGGTTTTTTTTTTTAATACATATATTGACATTGTAAATATTTTTTTATACAATTCATGTCGTGTAATTTAACTTGTTATATTTGGTAACTTATTTGCTATTATAGCCTTTTAAGCGACTAAACATACAAATATTGTACACCATCAATGTATATAACTAAATCCATTTTCATAACTGCATTAAATTTTCTTTAAGTATTTTTCAAGGAATGAAAGAACTAGTATAGTATATATGTATGTGTGTCTACATCAGCAATGTTTTTTTTTTAAGGAAAGAGCAGTATTAATAATTATGGTTGTCATGCTTACATAAAAAATATTATAAAATAAAAACTAAAGGAACAATCACTGACCAAAGCGTATGACTCATTCAAGTTGATTCAGTTTTATGACTCTAGTTCAACAAAAATTTAAGTTTTTTTTTGCTTTTTCTTTTTTTGCTAATCCGCTTTGATCTGAAAATTCCTTTAGTTTACCGCTGCTGCAGTCCATGTTTGATTTCCTCTAAACATCCTTCATATATATATATATATATATATTGAATGTTCTTTTACTTTTTGTACGCATGCAAATATAATATTTGTTTGTACTATATTACATCATCTTACTCTTGAAGGTGTCAAGCGATACTCCTTCGCCGGCAAATTATACTATTTTGCTAGATAATTTTTTTTATTTTATATATATTTATTATACGTTGACTCCCCTTAACTTTTCGATGTATCTAATTATTTATATTTTGACACCCCTTAATGAAAACCTGGATCTGCCACTCATATTACTGTATCATATACATAAAAACCACATGCATGTTTTTAAAAACTTAAATATAGATCAAGATTTATCAAACAAGGCTGAAATTATAACCTGATTAACTAAGCCTTATAAGTACCAATCAAAAGTTAAGCACAACTTAGATATAACTACTAAAAGCAAATCAATTTCAAACTAAATTACAAAGTATGACTACATCAGATCCAACACTATCTTAAAATTCATAATCAGAGCCAAGAATGTGCTCGTTGTGAAAAAATCTAGAAATATTGTCCCAATTTTTTTTAAAAAGGCGTTGTTTTATGTTTTTGCAAGAGTTTTTTGTTTATTTCAAAAAATTATTTTGTGAAGAAGTGGTTTTAGGGTGATTTTCAATGAAAAATTCTTCACCCAACACTCAAAAATCTTCACGATGACTTATACCTAAACATATCTTATTTCAGCTAAACTTTTTATTTCAATATCTTTTTTCAAATGTTCTCCAAAGTGTTTTGACCTTTTCATGGTTCTTTTCTCGTCAGTGGTTTGCATCTCCCAATGATTCTCTGCCTAGTGAAAAATCCAGCATTTTGAAAGCGTCCATTGAGTCAGACTCCATAGTTTTCAAAGTTTTCTCGCCTAGTTGGCAACCATAATTTGGATTATGTTCAACTATTTTGGACTTTTTAACTTCTTATTCATTTAATTTTGTATTTAACAAGTCTCATATTTGACTATTACCCAACTCAATCTCTATTAGTTCCCGTTGCGACTGTCAAAACATAGAATATTGTTTGAACTTCAAAACAGTACTAAATCGTACAATTTAACAAACTGCACGTGTTTGTTATATCAACCATTGTTGAGGTTTTTGTTTTTAAGATGAAATAGTCTTAAAATGAGGGTGAAGGGGAAATGGAGGGAAAATGAAATTTTTGAGTAAAATTTTACCCCTCTTGACAATGAGACATTGTCCCATATTGAAAGAGGAAGAGATTTTTGGTGGGTATATATATAATTGCTCTTCTTGTAGCTCTTAAAGAGTTAAGAAGAAAGCAAGCCTCGCGCCGTCGTCGTCGCTCGCTCGGCTTCGGCTTCGGTCAAATGATTGATTGATTAATTTTTTGGACCAAATTTATTTGTTAATAGTAAATATTAACGTAAATATTTATTTCTTCAAGACACAAATCGCTCAACAGATTTGGCTATACATTGCACTCCTTCCTCTCAGCATTTTCATACGATTTTCTGAGTTTCTACTCCTTCGTTCTGCATTGTTTTTAACTTCAAACAAAGCAACTGTAAGTGTGATTTGCTACCGAACTTTGTGTTCGCTTAAACACTGGAGTTTGAAGTACCGCTACACCAGTGTGTGATTCGTTCTATCCTGGGAGGAAATAATCCATTACCTTGGGTACTAGGAAGGGATTAAATTACTTAAGGAAACACTGTGAATTCAGTGGGCTCGAATTATTTATTGTTTCATTACGATAACTTATATTTTGCAGAATTATTATTTACAAATACAGCAATATTGGCGGAACTAACAACCATATGATTGCCCTGTCTTTTTTTCCGACTTAATTCAAATGTTGATTGAAAAAGATGTTGAAAGCTAAAAAGAAGAAAGAAAAGAAAAAGGAAATAAGGTAGGCATCAGGGGGAATATATTTTTATTTTATTTTTTGTTGAACGAGAAATTATATTTATATAGATGGGGCATTGATATGCCCAGTAGTTGAGAAGTTTGTAGCTAAATTACTTTTCCTTGTAAATACCGGATGAACTACCATAACTACTGGATTTGCAAAAAAGCTTTTTCTTTGCACCCACTTTGGCCAGCGAGCATTTGCCACTCTATTATGCTCCCCGAAGGTTTGCCATATTTTCGAGTTTCCTAGCTGCTACATCATCAGTCTACAATATAATCACGAACAATAGGTTCGTAAGTGATTCTTCCTGGCTGGATCATATGAATTACCTAGTTGAGTTTGTAGCAAATTGAGTAAATTTTATCAGCGGTCATCCAACTTTGTGTTCATTATAAAAAAGTCATTATTCTTTCCTTTGTCACACAAAAAATATTTTACTTTGCTCCAGTTATCACAAAAATTATTCTAGCCAAATTTTATAAAATTTCTCACCTGAAAAGTGACGTGGTGGTCTTAATTTGTGTTTTGTATTGATTAAGCAAGTTAAATATATTAACTCATGTCTTGACCCATAAATACCTGACCTAGTTGCCCTAATGGAGCTTCTTTTTCTCTATACTTCGCTTGTTGTATGTCTTGACCCATTTTAATTGCAACTTAAGCAAATTTCCAGTTCATTTATGTTTACTCGTAAAACAATACAGTTGAACTTATACGTGGTTTCTAGACAAGTGAACTAATTTGATCCTGAAATAATATAATAATTGAAGAAATACACGATACTTAGCC